TGAACTTCAACGATGGTCTAATTAAATATTACTATAATGGTTGTGCACTATCACAATCACTAGCTAATCACATCGAGTGTGCTGCTTGAGAACACCCTTAATAAGCTAGTAGTCATACTGCCAATTTACAATAGCATAATCTGCGCATAAATCGGATTATATCGCGATAAACAAGAGAGAACGTGCCCGATCCAAAGTGAATCCCACATATGGGTATTTTTCAATAGAAAGGGGAGATTCCTTCTAAGTAAAAGTTTTTAAACTTTAAATTAAAATATCTCAAAAACTATTAAACTAAATTTAATAAAATTTTTTTTAATAAAATTATAAAATTAAACAAAAAATAGTTATTGAGATACTTAAATTTAAAATTTAAAATAAAGTTACTAAAAACTTTTTCTCACTTTTTTATTGAAAAGCGCCCATATGTGTGATCAATTAAAACTGAAATTATTTATATTAGTTTTAATTGATCATACATACCCTGTATGGGATTCACTTTGAATCAGGTACATTTTCTGAAATACATATTAACATATTTGGGCTAATTTCGTATAATTAATAAAACATAATTTGCACATAAAATGGTAAAAAAAATTAAAGCAGAATAAGCATAATTATAATTCTATTTAAAAATCATATTGGCATCGAGTGAATTCGAATATACAGACATGAGCACGTAAAAATTACAATTAACTTTTAATAAATGGTCGAAACTAGACATGTGAATATAATACTATAGCTTGTTGTAATTATAATGAGTTACATGCATTTTTTTTGCTATAATACATTATAATTACGATAAGCAATCACACCTCTAGTCGTATAGTACAGAACCAGTAATATTTTTAACGTATTAAACCCCAATTTTTAATACAATTAAAAATATAAAAAATGAAACTCTAATCGCAATTTCTCACATAATTTGCAGCATAATTCTAAAAAATTTATCACATAATTCGCATAAATTAAATTTAAACCACGCAAAATTTGGAATCCATCAGCAGAAAATGAGGTTCTCTAAAAACTATACATGTGATCATGAACCCTTATATGAGCTAGTCAAAAGATAAATGCTATTAAATTTCATTCACCTATTTATTAATTTCCCTTCGAATCTTTTCAATTAATATACTGCATAGAATATATCGCATAACTAATTTAGACCATGACAATTAATAAATACAATTTCTAGTCTATAATTCATTCCTGGTTTAGCGCGATTGCGTCGCGCAGCACTTATACAGGAATAGGTTTAATTCAATTTTTTGAAAATAAATTCTGGCTAAAATTTGGATTTCGGCAAGGTTTCGGATTCGACATAGGTTTCGAATCAGAGTTTTGAACTTTCGGTTTCATCAAAACCGTTAAAAGTTTCGGTCACACATATAACTCCAACGATAAATCATAACTAGAAAAAAAAACCGTTAGTAACAGAAAAAAAAAAAGCATTAATAAAAAAAAAAAAAAAAACTCTCCATTAACAATGTATAACACCGAGACGACTTAGGCTACGACGATGATGACAAAGATGACAACTCCAACAACGACTCCAATAGCGCCTAAAAAAAAAAAAAAGGTGCATTAGTATACAATAAAAACAATGTTCATTATTTACATGGTCTGAAAAATTTTTTTATAATTTTCTCAGACCTTAGATCAAATATTTATCAATCTTGAAAATAAAAATCTTCATGAACGATAAAAACAAAGAAAAAGCGACAAAAGTGACGAAGCAGCCAAAAGACGAAACACCAGAGGACGAAATGAAGAAAAAGCAACAAAAGTGACGAAGCAGCCAAAAGATGAAACGCCAAAGGACGAAACAGTAAAAATGACAAATTGCAAAGTACGGAAGCGACAAAAATATCATCATTTCAAAATGCATCAACAAGGAGTGCGATCTACGCTTCAGACGATGAAGAGGGGCCTATAAGCTGAACAATTTTTTGGGATCTTTTTTTCGGTTCTTCGAAGCTTTTTAGTTTGTCTAAAAGTATTGTTCGAATTACCGAAAACAAATTTCCTATGTCACTTTTGAGAACTTCTTCAGTGACATTAGAATTATTCAAGCTTACCATTAAGGGCTCACTTATGGCTCCTACTTCATTGTTGGAGTTGACTAAGGTAAAGTACCACTTATCACCAGTAGTAACGACACCATAAACATACTCCAAGCAATCATGCTTCCTTTTTTTATATTGTTCGACCGCACACTGCAATTGAACAAGGTTTTGACAAAATCCATGTTCAATATTCGTCATCTTCGCCTCTACTGTGCAAAGAATATCATCTCCTTTCTTAATGGTATAGTCAGGTCTGCCTCTACCACTAATTCTGGACAAGAACAATTCTCTGCGCATTTTTACGTCCCTCTCGCTTAAAGTGTCTAGAGCACCATATAAAATGGCAGAGATGAATTGACATCTTTCTGTTTCATTGCATTCGTCAATTGATCCTGTTCTGTTCAATAGTGTCTTTAAAAAAGAAAAATTATCTTAGAATTTAGTTGCACCATTTACTCAAAAGCTAGTTCTAATTTAATATCGAGAAATCAAACCTTGACTTGTTAGACCGCTAAATTTATCTCTGTTTCATATTGTTCTACATCTTCTGATGAAGCTAGTAGAAGTATTTAAAAATTATTAAATAAAATGAATTAACAAACTATAAATTACTTAAATATATTACTTACCAAATTCTAATTTTGGCAGTTCACCAATTCTCTCCGCACAGATCCCAAATATTGCCCTAAGTTGGGATAGTCTTCTGTACGAAGAAAACTCTTGCTGGGCTATAGATGAATTGCAGAGTTATTAGGCATATTTACTAATTTTGATTTTTAATAATTATAAAGATAAAACTTACAACTTTCTAAAATTAGTTCCAATTTCTTGACACCATTTCCAACTTTAGGAGCCAAGTCTAAAACTGTTTTCAAATCATCTTGATTATTTATGAGAACATCAAGATGTTTTTCTCTCAGTTTTAGCGAAGACACATCAATGTCTTCCAACAGATTGGCGAACTCCTTTTGAATTTTTTCCAACCACGTCGCCCAAAAATTATCTGCGCTTAGATTGGCAACCAGATTTCTTTTGTATTTTCCAAAAGAAATGGTGCACAGAATTGCTTCGTTCTAAAAAAAAAAAAAAAAAATGTAACATAAAATATCATCAAGGAAAGGAAGCTAAATATTGAGCTTTCAAATCTCGAATTTAAACCTCTAAAATCTAATATATAATGTAAGCTAAAGAAGTACACATTGCTCTTGTTATATCAGCGTCTGTATATAATAATATCTGGCTATACCGCGTTTTATAAATTTTTAACCGATATATTTAATATAAAAAGGCCTCCGGTTAAACCGTCATCTGAATATATCGGACAATTTCTTTGTTTTTAGAAAGTGAAGATATAACAGGAGTGCATGTAGTTCTATAACTAGCATATACATTATTGCACAAATTTTAGTACATACCTGGTCTTGTGGTTTACGCTTATTTGCCCAAAACTCTTCAACTTTGGCCTTTGTATCATTATTCGGACGCTCTATTGTCTAAATATTATTAAATAAATTTTTTTGCGTGTAAGTACGATTATATGTTACATTATAGCGCATATTTTATAATGAGAAATATCAAAACAAAAAAAATAGTAAAATGATATACTTCAAATCAAAGTTTACAAATGCACCAAAATATATAATCTTACCTTTATCGACTTCAACGCTTTTTTTTCTTCTTAGGTTCATTGTCTGCGATGTTTTTAAGACAATTTATATATTTAACATATTCTGCATCTTGATGTCTTAAAATTTGGTTTTTATCGCAGTATTCTAAATAACCTAAGAAGGTCCATTCGGTTTTCTCGTCAAAGTAAGAACTATAGCAAAAAGTTGATACATTAGGTTATATTTAAATTAAAACATTTAACATAATACAGAAATTACTTACCTTGGCAATATGCTGTTTGTATTTTCCATTTTTACCTAAAACAAATAAATAAATAAAAAAGAAAAGAATATACTAGAGAATAGATGAGTAAAGAAAATAAAAAACAATATGCTAAAAACAATATATAAGAATATAAATATTATAATTATTTTTGTGAAACAACGAAAAGACAAAGCGAGACAACAGTGATGCGACAAAGCGAGATAACGAATTTACAAGCCGAAACAACGAGTGGAAAAGATTCTTCGCGAAACAATATGTGGGTTCAGTATTACGCAATATTGTTTTTTATAGTGCGTGTAGTTGTCTTGAATTTTGATGTTACACTAGATTTTAATTTTAATTGGCTGTCATTTACCTAAAATTTTGTTGGCTATTATATTATATAATATACTATAAGAAAAACTCCTGGATCAAACCCATTTTTCGATTTCCTTTTTTGGAAGATCTGCATAAATTAGCCAATCACATTGAAATTTTTATGAAGCAAAAGAATTGCTGCGTTTTAGACACTTCCAAAAAAGGAAATCAAAAAATGGGCAGTTAGCGTTAGGTGAGACTGTCCCAAATTAGGAAATCGATTTCATTGGTACACAAGTGTTAAAGAAATTTTTTATACTGTTTACAATTTACAATACTTTCTTAGGAACTTCGGGTAACCTATCCCTTTTATGAAACGTGGATAATCTACTAAGCAAACTTGTAGTTTTCGTCTTGCTCAACAATATATTTGCTTAATCCTTTTTAATTCTATAACTTTTATATTACACCTTACCTGCAGAAGTTCTAAGTTATTAACAAACACTACATCGACAAAATCTCATTTGTTAAGCAAAAAAAAAATATGTAAAAACTTAATAAAGATTAATAACGGTAGCATAGAAGGAAGGAATTCATTTGTATTTTTTTTTATTATATGTGTTGCATAGAAATCCTTTAAATGTACTAAAAACAATAACTATACGTGCAGTAATATAAAATAGTAAGATGTTAGAGATTTAATTAGACGTAAAATTGATATTTATATATTAGAATATATTAAATTAATACCGGGGGATATTGATATCTGGGTGCTATATCTCAAAAAGTAGATTAAGAAACAGGGTCAGGCGTACTAAGTAAAAATGTTCGGAACCCCCAAAACCCTTGTGTAACCTAAATTTGAACTATAATATCTGCCTTTATTTTGGTGTAAAACTGCACCCTAACCCTAAATTTTAATAAAAACTACTATATCTCAAAAAACTGACTAAGAAACAGGGTCAGGTGTACTAAGTAAAAATGTCCGGAACCCCCCAAAACCTTGTATAATTTAAAATTTAGACTATTATATTTGAACTCTATTTTAGCATTAAACTGCACTCTAACCCTAAATTTTAGCAAAAAATGATTTTTTATAATAAAATAGGGGGTGGATATCAATAACCACTGGTATAAATATGATTTTTTCTATATATTAATGTAAATAAATACGATTAAAAATTAATAATTTTGATTTAAATTAATAAATACATGCTTACTTACCTAACAACATAAATTTAATTAAATTCTCTTTCTATTTAAGCAAAAATACTATTCCTGATGGATCGGCAATACGGAGTTAAAATTATTTAAGTACTGTTCCTGATAGGGTTATATACAGTAGTATAGTATTTTTGAGGCCCTTTTTTAGAACCCTATCAGAAACAGAATTTAAACCAATATGCATGATCGGGATCATCATTTCCTTATTTGGACGGTTTCACCGCACTGACCAAAGGCAAACCCCTACCCAATCGGAGTGCATGAAATTTGACTGTTCCGGATCAGCCCGACATGAATTCCGAACACGTGCGAAAGAAGAAAAAGCGAAAATACTCAAAAACTAGTGTTTAAATGACCTTTATACACTAATTAAAAATGCCGGGAACGAAATTTTACATATAAAAAACAACATTCTATTGTTATAGCCGCTAATGTTAACGACCTAACCCTAAACTTCTATTAGTTTATTTACAAAATTCGATTGCCTTTTTTGGTTTGTGTTACTCGTGCAAATAAGTAAACTCCTGACCAAAGTACCCGGCGTGACAAATAATACCGATCAATTTTTTACATTATTTTATATGTGACATGTGATGTAAACAATTGTGTAATTTGGTCAGTGAGACCGTTAATGTTACACATATATTAAAACTGGTGAGGGATTATATCCATCACAATTGAATCCAATATAAATAATT